TAAATTAACATCTATTTTTTCTGGGTTTTTACCATTTTCTGAAAAGTTTTTCATTTCATAAATCAAAACATTGTCTTTCATTTAAAAGACTGCATCCAGAATCATTCACTGATTTAATTCAATGCATAAATTCTTCTGATCATTTACATCAAATTCTAAAGAAATTTAGTTATCGGTAATTTAAGAATTATTTTAGATTTTCAGAATATATAGTCTCTAAACATTTTTATTTCTTTTATCGTTTGAAATTTATGAAAGGAGAAAATTAATTTTTTTTTTTTTTTTTTTTTTTATCCGCCTTTTAATTTATTAAATATTTTTTTTTTTATTTTTTAATTTTTTTCTTTCTTTTTTCTTTTTTTTTTTTTTTTTTTTTTTTTTTCTTTTCTTTTTTTTTATCATCTTTTTTCTTTCCTTTTCATCCAAGATAGGGTAATACATTTTTTGTTTTTTTTTTTGTTTCCATAATTTTGAAATTTAAAATGAATTTATTCAATTGACTTTTTTTTTTTAAATTTATATTCGATAATTTGTTTCATCCTTTAAAATTGCCATCTTTATTTTTTTTCAAAATTCCAATTTGCATTTTTTTTTCTGATTTCTAGAAAAATTTAAATATTTTTATAAAATTTAACTGATTTATTATCGGATTTAAAAATATAACAACATCATATTTATAATGAAAAATTTTGTCATATATATATATATATGTTTTATCATATATATCATTAAAAAAAATGTCCTTAGAAAAAATTTATATATATAAAACCTACCTATATTATATTCATATTAAATGTTCTGGACAGAAAGTTCTTGTTAAATTTCTTGGGAACTTATTTTTATATTTATTTATATTTGAAATAAATTTATTTCTTTTCCAATAAATACATATATATATATATATATATATATATATATATATATATATATATATATATATATATATATATATATCAGTTAATTTTATTAAATATGCTTGAATTCGATATCATTCTAATAAATTTGTATTTCAAAATATTTTTCATTTGTATATTTTTTTATAAATAAAAAAAAAAATATATGGATATATATTAATATATATATAAAAATATATTATATATATATATTTTTTTATATATATATTATTTATTTTTATATATATTTATATATATATATATATATATATATATATATATTTACATATTATTTATATAAAATATAAATATGACAGTATGAAGAAAATATATTTTTTTCAAAAAAAAATAAAAAAAATCCTATATATTATGGTATATGTTTTTTTTAATTTTTTTATCCCTTTTTAATTTTTTTTATTTTTTCATTCTTATTTTTATATATATATATAATTCAACTATAAATTTATATATTTATTCAATAAAAAAAATTTAGATAACAGAAAATTTTTTTATAAAAAAAAATGTTTTCATTATTAATTTTTCGAATTCATGCGAAATTTGAATAATATTTAAACAAATTAAAATTTATTATATTTAAAATTTTTAAGTTTTTTTTTTGGATTTTTATTTTTTTTTTTAATTTAAAAATTCAATTTGAAATATTTTTTAATGTTATTTAAATTAAAACATTTTTATTGAAGATTTAAAATTAGACTAATTTTTTTTGAAAATTTTTTTTTTAATTTTTTTTTTTAATTAGCTAATTTTAATAATTTTTTATTTTTTAATTGTTTTTTTTTATATTTTTTTAGATTATATATATATATATATATATATATATATATATATATATATATATATATATATATATATATAATATATTATTTTTTTAATTGAATACATAATTTAAAATGAGATATAGATAAAAAATAAAAAATACAGAAATTGTAATGTATTTGCTTTTATGTTGACAATGAATAATCAGTTGAAAAATAACAAGATACAACATCATGTTTTGTTTTCATCAATAAAAAATACCACCAACTGACTTAATTCCCGCTTTAAAAATTATTGGCATTCTGCCGAACAGTTTTTCTTTTTTGTTTTGTTTTTTCTAATAAAAACGTAGATGGAGATCCTAAAAAATTCGTTTTTAATTTTCACTGTTAATTCCAATCACCCCTATTAGAATTCAATTTTTTTAGGTCAAAATTTTTTAATAAAATTTTTTTTTTTTTTTTTTTTTTGAGGTTGAAATTTTAGCATAATTTAAAAAATTTAGTTTTTTTAAAAAATATTATCAGATAAAAAGATGGTATAAAATGTCTTCGTAAAAATCAAATGATATTGTTCTTTTTCCATGAACCCTTGATCTGAATTAAATCAAGAAATAAGGAAAGTTGAATAATAAAAAAGGTTTAAATTTTTTAAACGCTGAAAACGAATTTAAATTAATATTTCATCCAAAATATTCATATATTTATCAAAATATATTTATAAATACAGATATTCAAAAAGTTTGAACATTTTGGTGATTAATATTTTTTAAAAATCATGGTTTTCAGTGTAGTTATTTTTAAAATTTTATCTGTTAAACATTGAAATATGATAAATTAAGGAGTTTTTTTCCCAATAAAATAAAGTTTAAATTAATACAAATATATTTTATAATAAATAAAATATATTATTTTTTTATTATATATATATAAATATCAGGTCATCCCATAAGTTCTGTCCGAATTTTAACTTTTTTTAAAATGAACGAAATTTAAAGAGTATTTTATAATGTCTAATGGAGCTGAACATTATTTTTATGTTTAGATGCATTTAAACTGATCAAATTTTATTTCAGAGAACAATAAAATTAAATTTTGTTTGATTAAAACCCCATAACATGGAAGTACCCAAGAATCATTTGAGGCACATAATGCTTTATGAGTTCAAGAAAGGAAACTCAGCAGCCGAAACGGCTAGAAACATTCATTCAGTTTATGGAGAGGAATGTGTGTATGAAAGAACTTGCAGAAGATGGTTTGCAAAATTCAGAGGTGGAGATTTCACCCTTGAAGATGAAGATCGAACCGGACGTCTAGTTGAGTTTGATGAAAAGCTTCTTGAAGCAGCCCTTGAAGAAAATCCTGCTTTATCAGTTGAGAAATTGGCAGTGGTTCTTAGTTCAAACAATAAAACTGTTCATCGTCATCTTCAACAACTTGGAAAAGTTCCTAAACTTGGAAAATGGGTGCCTCGTGAAAACAACCTCAAATCCCGAGTTGACCTTTGCTCTTCTCTCCATTCCCGCCAACCTGTTTCACCTTTTTTGGATAGACTTGTGACTGGCGACGAAAAAAATGGATCTTTTATCGAAATGTTAAGCGTCGTAGACAGTGGCTTGGTAAAGGGAAGGACCCCAGCCACAGCCGAGAAGGGAACTTCATGGGCAAAAGGTTCTTCTTTTTCAATCTGGTGGGATCGCCAAGGAATAATCCACTTTGAATTCTTACCACCTAATGCAACAATTAATGCTCAAATATACTGTCAGCAATTAGAGCGTTTGAACAGAGCTTTGAGGAAAAAAGACCTGCTCTAGTGAATCGAAAAGGGGTGATATTTCATCAGGACATTGCGCGACCCCACACAGCAAGAATCACGTCACAAAAAAACGAAGAACTTCGTTGGGAGAAAATTCCTCATCCACCTTATTCTCCCGACCTTCCTCTTTCAGACTACTATTTGTTTCGTAGATACAGAATCATTTGGAAGAAACAGCTTTTGTGACATAGGAAGAGATTAAAACTGACATTTGTGAGTTCTTCGAATCAAAGCCAAAAGAATTTTACAGTAATGGAATTAGTAAGCTTTGTTAATAGATGGAAGGAAGTCATAGATAATCAGGGAAAATACATTGTTGATTGAATCTGTAATTAAATGTAACATTTGGTCACTTGTTTTCTTTATTCAAAATTCGGACAGAACTTATGGGATGACCTGATATAAACGGAGACCTACACCAAGTGCCTTGAGGATTTTAGTGCTGCCCTGGGTCAAGAGGGTGGCTTCTAAAGACAAAGTGTATGACAACAGGATTATGCACCACGCCGCACAAGAATTAGAACTCAGTCATGGATGTCAGACAATTTTTTCATCACATCAATATACAGCTGGCCACCTAACTTGCAGATTATTATGTTTGGATTACAGTTTAAAAAGAGACCAACAAAACTCCTTGTAACATTAAAAGATGAATAAGGCAAGGATTATGGCAGCATTCACCAACTTTAAACAAGGAGACCGTCCAAAAGAGTTGCAGGAAATTGATCAAAGTAATCTGAGGATGTGATTGAAAAAAATTCTATTTTAATGGATAAATTTAAAAAGTATTTCAAGATATTTTTTTCTACATTTTGGTAAATATATCTATTTAAATGAGATGTCACTGTTATTTTCAATTTTGCAATTTTTCATTTAGACAACAATTTATCCATCGCTCCATATATATATATATATATATATATATATATATATATATATATATATATATATATATATATATAAATATTATATGAAAATCTTGGTAATTCGGCATTAAATAATCCCAAGGAGGATGAAATCCTGAAAAGAAACAAAATAAGTCAGAGCGAAATATTTAATTTAAAAAAAAAACAGACCAATTTGATAATCCATAGTAAAAATTTATTTCACCAGAGAATTTTATTTTTTTCTGGGATTTTCAGACTTTAAACTCTCAAAGAAACGAAAAATAAAAATATATATTAATATATATATATATTTATATATATACATATATATATTTGAATATGTATATAAATATATGTTTATATATATATATATATATATATATATATATATATATATATATATATATATATATATTTCAACACACATGTTAAAATATATATATATATATATATATATATATATAAATAAAAAGAAAAACAGTAAATATTCTGATAAACAAAAATAGATATTTTATTTTTACAAAATTGCTCAATTCTACAAGAGCATTATTTATTATAAATTAATTATTTAACGAAATATGTCATTTTTCGCTACACAGTTCCAACCATTTTCAAAATAGAATTAAAA